CCGTTCGCAAAGCACACCACTGCTACCTGCAATAACGGATTTCCTGACGGTGCTACATACAAACCAATTACCGCAGCCACTATCGCTGCAAAGAAAGGCAAGAGGAATGGCGCAACGGTCGCTTCAGTGGAGCTCGCCAAAAGGGTTGCGGTGGTGATGCCATCAGCAGCCTTGGGTAACGGTACAGACTCAGATGAGTGCGTGGCCCCACTGACAACACCCTTGCTTCTGTGGGACTGTCTTATCGATGGTCCTGCGTCCTCTTCTCGTGTTAAAGCGCTAATAGACGATGGTTCCACAGCAGTTCTGATTGACGAGAAACTCGTCGAACAACTCGGTCTTCAACGTCGCAAGCTACACACTGCCATGTCCTTCAATGTCGCACTTTCGGGAGAGGAGAAGGACTCATTTCTCTTATCGGACTATGTCAGACTTGCATGTATTTCTATTGACTCTCGTTTTACTTCACGCAGTGTACATGCAATTGTGGCTCCAAACCTCTGTACCCCTCTGTTACTGGGAGGACCCTTCCTCCTTCACAACAAGATCGTCATTGATCACAAGCTCGGCACGTGCACGGTAAAGGACCAAGACTACGAGCTACTCAACCCACAGCCGATTATTAAAACGAAATCCATTGTCCCCTCTCCACCGAAGATGAGTGAATACCGACACGAAGTATTGCGTGAATTGAAATTCATCCTGCCAGAGTACAAACAGCTGGTCGACGACTCTTGTGAGCCTGTTAATGGCGTCGACATCATTGCCGCGATCAAACAACGGATCACAACGCTTGCGTCGGCCGAGCAACTTAAACTTCGTGACTCCGCTGTCAAAATTGAATATGAAGATCGCTTTCCCGCTGATATACCGCACAACGACACTCTACCCTCAGACGTTCTATTCCACGTGCGCCTGAAAGACGCCAACAAACTCATACAACAGAGGGGGTATGACTGCCCTCGCAAATATCGCGACGCATGGAAGATACTACTCGACCAGCACGTGGCAGCGGGACGTCTGCGTCCTTCCGACAGCCCGCACTCGTCTCCTGTGTTCATTATACCGAAAGCAGACCCTACTGCTTTACCAAGGTGGGTCAATGATTTCCGGCAGTTAAACTTGAACACCGTTCCAGATAACCACCCGTTACCTCGCATCAACGAGATCCTGCGCGACTGCGCAAAAGGAAAAATATTTGGTAAAATAGATATGACTAACTCCTTTTTTTAAACAAAAGTACACCCCGACGACATGAAACTACTCACCGTCCATACTCCGTGGGGATTATATGAATGGACAGTGATGCCCATGGGCGTGCGGAACGCTCCAGCCGCACATCAAAGACGAATGTCGACAGCACTCAGGCACTTAATCGGCAAAATCTGCCATGTTTACCTCGACGACATAATTATATGGTTGCAAACGTTAGAAGAACATGAACGTAATGTGCGACAAGTCCTCGACGCCTTGCGACCAGCACACCTCTTCTGTTCCCTCAAGAAAACGTCACTCTTCAATCTCGAAATTGATTTTCTTGGACATCATATCTCAGAACGTGGGATCGAACCGGATGCGTCTAAGGTAGCAAGGATCCTCGACTGGCCAACACCTCGTAAAACTAATGATGTGCGTGCATTTCTCGGCTTGGTGCGATACCTGGCCAATCATCTACCTGCACTTGCGGACCACGCGAGGATCCTAACGCCGTTAACGACAAAGGCCACGGAACTCGACTTCCGCAACAACAAAATATTTCTGATGTGTGATGCATCAGACTTCCGTACCGGAGCGGTGTTGTCATGGGGAGAGACGTGGGAGACAGCTAGACCAGTGGCGTTTGATTCTGCTCAACTACAAGAAGCTGAACTTAATTATCCAGTGCACGAAAAGGAATTACTCGCCATCATCCGTGGACTGAAAAAGTGGAGGGTCGAACTACTCAGTGGACCCATCCAAGTTTACACAGATCATCGCACACTTGAAAACTTTGTAACGCAAAAGGGTCTCTCCCGTCGGCAGGCCCGCTGGGCAGAATACTTGGCCCATTTCAATCTCACCATATCATACTTAAAGGGCGAAGAGAATACGGGTGCCGATGCGCTATCACGACTTCAAATAGAAGACGAGGAAACAACCATCACGGCTGCCATCGTCAACTCCTCCTTCAAAATCAACCTTGACGAATCGTTCATGAAAGATATTGTCTCCGGTTACGTTGACGACCCGTTCTGTAAGAAACTAACTGCCCTCGTCGGTTCTCTACCAGGATTAGAACAACGCGATGGACTTCTGTTTGTCGCCAATTGTCTCGTCGTGCCTCAAATCAACCCACTTCGCGAAAAGCTTTTTCACCTAGCGCACGATGCTTCAGGACACTTCGGCGGGGACAAGACGTATGCTACGTTAAGATCAGCATACTACTGGCCCAATATGAGACGCGACCTCATTGAATCCTATATCCCAAGTTGTGTCGATTGTATGCGGAACAAATCGCCCACCACATCAGTCGCCGGTCCGTTACACCCACTGCCTATTCCAGATGCGAGAGGAGATTCGGTCGCCATTGACTTCATTGGACCCCTGCCAGAGGACCATGGATTCAACACGATCGTAACGATGACCGACCGACTAAACGCGGACTTACACATAGTTCCATGTCGAGATGACATCTCAGCTGAACAATTTGCGCTCTTGTTCTTCGACAGCTGGTATTGCGAAAATGGGTTACCACTCGACATCGTGTCTGACCGCGATAAGCTCTTTCTCTCTCGCTTTTGGAAATCGTTGCACAACCTGACTGGAATTAAGTTAAAGCTCTCATCGTCATACCACCCGCAAACCGACGGAGTGAGCGAGAGAACTAACAAAACCATCAATCAGTGTGTCCGCTTTCATGTGGAACGAAACCAGAAAGGTTGGGTCCGTGCTCTGCCACATGTTCGCTTCCAAATCATGAACACTATCAATGCGAGCACGAACACCTCCCCCTTCCAACTACACATCGGACGCTCTCCTCAAATCATACCGCCATTACAACGTCCCATAATAGAAGACACACCAGAAGACCAACGCGCTTGATTGCTCTTGACACAACTACAGTACGACACCATGGAGGCGCAAGACAGCCTACTCGCCGCAAAAGCGTCTCAAGCGACACAAGTCAATAAACACCATTCGAACGAACTAGCACTCAACATCGGGGACAAGGTGATGCTTTCAACAAAGCACAGACATCGGGAATATATGCAAAAGGGCGATAAGCGGGTCGCAAAGTTCATGCCGCGGTTCGACGGTCCCTACACTGTTCTGGAAGCACATCCCGAGACCTCCACGTATACCCTCGATCTCCCCAACTCCCCCAATATTTTCCCCACCTTCCACTCCTCACAATTACGTCCCTTCCACGCCAACGATACAGAGTTATTCCCCTCGCGCGTATATCCTCGACCTGGGCCGGTGGTCACCGAAGACGGTCAAGTTGAAACGTTCATTGAAAAGATTGTGGATGAGAAGAAGATCGGAAGAGGAAAAAGATACCTGGTACGATGGCTCGGTTTTGGCGCAGATGAAGACGAATGGCTGCCTCGGCGTGACCTCGAGGACTGTGAAGCCCTAGATGTTTGGGAACGGCAAAAAGAGTCTCCATAGGTTGGGAGGGTGTAAGCATGGCTTACGCAGCAGGCGTACTGACAGACATACCGCTTATCCATCAGACTCGTTGATTGGACACCTTACGATATTTGCTACTGTTTACAGGATGCCTACGGACTCCTATTTATACAGGACTCATACAATTGTATTATCTATCGTCTCTTACCCTGATCCGAATTGCATACACTTCTACTTGTTACTTCTGTCTGAGTGTTTCTACCCTTGGGTAGTTTCCACTCTTTGGAAACACTGATTTGAACTTTAGAATGTATATATGCATGGCCTGGGCCCCAGTAACTCTCACATTGTCGCCTTGCAACATCAGGTGAAGCAGTTGTAAATTAAACTTGTACAAGTGAAAACCACATTTTTGACATTAGAGTAAGTTCCTTTCCCTATTTGTTGAATTATATTGGTACTCATAGTATTTGACTTGGAGGTCCGCATTCAACGAGCTTGCACACAATGTGCAGCTTTTCAATCCAGATCTGTCATATTCCGTACCTGAAGCTTCTTGTCTGGTCTGGTCCGTCCGTTCTCTCGGGTCTGTTCTAGAATTCATTTCCCCGTGTCCCCATTTGTATATGCTTCTTGATGCCCCTATATGCCCGGATCCTTCTGACAGTTAATATCCGGGTTCATTCTGATCTATCCGTTAGTCTATTCATTTCCTTTTCATTTAACTTGTCCCCCCTGTTTCATTTAATCTCCGGCTCCATTCTCAATCGTCCGCAGCAGTTCATATCCGTTAGTACATTTTCTACATAGCCCTCTGATCCGAAGACTGTGCTTTGGCCGGAAACCTGTCGGATACACTACAGTATATAGACCCTTTGTAACCCGTAGTATTTCCTCAGTTCAAATATTAACTTAGACTCTGTTCAATCCTCGTGTCCTCTCGGCTCTTAGGATTATTATCCTAGTCCAATCCTCCGAGCCTCGGGATTATATCCCTAAGGCTAAATACCTCCGCCTCTACCTTCGGGTAGTCTATACCTTGTTAGTTTCTACCCGGACGAAGTCTCGGGTAGTCTTCCCTCTTTCATCCGGCCCGTCCATACCCCTCCACCAACAATATCTACCCCCCCTGTAAATTAGGGGCACGTACTCGGGTAAAGAGTGCAGTGCACGAGCTGAAGCTAAGCCCCTCCGGTCCGACCCGTTGAACATGGTCTTAACAAGATCCCACTCTCACTGCATCAGGAAAAATGGTATTTGCACTAATTGCAAATATAGCATCTATATCCCTCGGAGCAAAAGAGCAAAAAAAGACAAGTGCCCTGTTATAGTTGTCATATATAGCTGCCACATCCCAATAATAAAACTCCAACCTCCCAATCTATGTGATGCATCTCTATGGCACAGACGACGACCTCAGTGCTTGGAGGATCAGGGACGTGTCGAACATCTAGTGAGCATTTGTTTTCTTGAGACTGTATCTGCCTTTCCATGGTGTGCGGTTAGTGTGCCACATATATCTGCGAGTTACATATTTCCCCTGTGTCAGGGTCTGAAGGACCCTCTTTAAACACGGTCCAACCCCCGAGATTGTAGCGCTCACTTATGAGGTATTTGTAGACACTACTTGTCGACACAAGTTGTCGATCAGATGTCGTCTTCATTGAGACACTGCCTCGCTCACTATGATACAATGCATGCTAGCGATGGTGTCAATCATGAATGTTCAACACTCACATTCAAATCTCTGTATCAGCCACTGTCACACCAGTTGGGACGGCAGATCAATCCAATACCTTGTACACCATACACTGAATGCAGCTGATCCTCATTTACAGCTCACAGGAGACATGGGACTTGCGCCTCAATGACTTGCAAGAACTCCATAACACCATCATTGCAGAATGGGATGACTGGGTAGCAGCTGCACCTAGGACCTGGAAGTTGGATGGCTGGCTGCTCAGTCATGCACCTGTGGCTGTAGCCTGTCGCTATGGTCAGAACCAACCTATCGCTAATTTGGATGCCCAAGCAAATACCATAGAGGCTAAGAACTGGCATGCAGAGAGTTCTATCGCCAGTGTACGATATGTATCTGTTGCCATAGCCACAGATATTTCGTACGTCCTTTTTTCACCATCGCCCCCTCATGCCTGCATTTCCCTCCTCATCAAACTCACTGCGTGGATCCTCAGCTGCACTAGGGTCAAACATTGGATCAAGGTGCCTAATGAAGACATCATCCAGAAGTATGGTGTGGTGTATGACTCCCCTGATCCCCGTATTCGCAAAGAGGTGGACTTAGACAATTCTCCACATCACGATCCCATTACTCGTCGTGAAAACAATGTTTATGATGTGGATGGCCGTCACATTCCTCGTCTCCATGAAAAGACCCATTGCAATGCACAACCATGTGGCCTCCTGGTTAACTTGGAGACTATCTCAGAGTTATTTTCCTCCTATATCCCAGACTACGATGCCATGATCATTGACCAAGACGCGTACTGTGGTGAACAGAGTTCCACTCTGTCAGTGTCTGTGTATCCCCAGGCTTTCCTCCGCCCTATTGGTCATGTTCAATGTGATGCAGTCCTTCCTCACTTCGCTCCATTCATCTCTGACATCCGTTGTTCGACATCTCGCAGACCCCGCACCGTCAACTTCGACGATGACGATCCATTTCCAGAAGAATATGATCTCTTTGAAGATAGGGTTGATGGTGATCAAGGTGTTCCTCCAGTTCTCATCCCCAGTGCTTGTCAATTTTACAATGAGCTGTCCCACCGCATTCATCCCTCCGCAGCCCTCCATAATGTTCAACAGGGTCGCATCATCTCTGCCCTTGTTGGAGCTTATGGCAATGCTGCCACAAAGATCACTCACAACACTCAAGTTTGCGAATGCAAGATGGGTCTCCCCCATCAAAAATATGACAACAAGATAAGCCTTGATGATGTCCCCCACACCTTGCGTCTTGAGAACATATACATCATTTAATGTGATTCACTGAAGGCAGAAAAGTGCGATGGCATGTGAGCATCCTCAGTCTTTCGCTGTGTCTCGATCCCACCCAATTCACATTCTCATCTTTAGGTCTATATACAAGGACATCATTGTGCCGCTTGCTTGCGCTTGGTCCCACCCAAATATCTTTCAAGCCCTCAGACCACACATATGCGTATTTGCTTCCCATGTGAGTCATTGATTTCTTACTGTTGTGCCACTTTCTAATTTGCTTCTTCCAGGCATTTCCTCAAGTCTATCAATGGATGTCCTTCAGTATCACTTCCTTGCTCGAACATTTGTGGGCTTACCTGTCGGAAAAAAGTTCCCAGGGTTTTAAGGCCTTGCAAGACATTTTAATGCTCTATTTGGAGGGTGTCCTTATAAGGGCTTTTAATTTGGTAAGATAATATTTTAATGCTCATTAAAAGGCACTTATAAGGGCCCTTTTGATGGCCTTATGTTGAATTTTGCCTCACCATGCCTCCGAGTGGCCCGTTGAAATGCCTTGTAAGGCCCTTTTAAGGTACCGAGCCGACCTTGTAATCCGGCAGTATTACAATGGTATCTAACTTTTTTCCGACACCAGCTCCCCATTTTGGAGTCCGGAAATAAGCCCAGGCATGAGGTGATCGAACTCTGCTCTGTCCTGGAACACACCCTGGCATATGGTCACACCAGCAATGCAAGAGTCCTCGCCGCAAGGTTGATGAGGCCTCTTTGGTTGATCCAGAGCCTCCTTGAGCAAGGACTTCCTACCTTCACGCCTGCAGTGCGTATCACGACAGCCATCAACAATCCCATCATGATCAGTGCGGCTGATTGGCCGACCTTGGACAACCTGAATGTCCCTGCTATTGCATCCAAGAGGTTGCAAGTTCTTTTTTATGGCAATGATCATTTCGAGGTGTGTGCCTTTTTTCGGTTTTCATACCCAGTCCAGGACTCGCTGCTGACATTGTCTCTTTAAAGGCTTATAAAGCGGGCTTTCACATTGAATTGTCCATCAACAAGCTCTCGCCGCACATCTTCCTCCAATACAGCTCCCAGGAACACCACTGCATTGTTATTGCATTAGTGGCTTTGCACTCCTACATCGTCGACATCAAAACCTTGGTCGCGACTGCAGTCAAGAAGGAATGTTCAACCAATGATGAGGACATGAACTTCGACATCGACAATGGAGGACCAAGCAGAGACAAAGAGTGTCTGAAATCTTTGCAGAAATGGTTGGCATGTGAGCATCCTCTGGGCTACAAAGACAGAGCCTATAAGCACCTCTTGTGATGCATTGTTGCAGATCCAAATGATTTTTCAGACGGTCTACCCTGCTCATCAAAAGAGAAGTTGAGTGTGCAAGATTTTGCGGCATGTATCTGCAAGATGACTCGGACCGAATATCCTTCATCCATCACTGCACCTCTCATTATGACGGCTCCTTCCACAGCTGTCTTTTGGATAGCATACACTTGTATGCTCAAGTACGCTTCCACAAATTCCCCAGCAGCTACCGAGAAATGCATGCAACAATCTTACATCATCACTGCCAACCATCTTCAAATACAGCATGTCCCTTGGCATGCGCCTCATGGAGGAGGGAGGGGTCGCCCGTCATGAAAAGCCATGCACAACTCATGGGTGAATCTTGAGAAATCATCAGTGGTCAACCCTTGTGCCTCAATGGTCGGTCATGCCAACCCTCACCCAATCAACTTGGCTGCTGAGGCAGCAAAGAAAGCTCAAGCTTCCGATGCTCACGCTCCATGGGCTGTGGAATCTGTCACACTTCAGTCACTCCCTGATTTCTTTTCCTGGAACAGTCTCCCCAATGAATTCAGCTTAGACAATATAGAATGCAATGGCGACAGCACTCTCACCCAGATCTATGAGTGGGTGTTCGCGAACTTCAACCGAGAGAAGCCGATCCACAAGATTGCATTGCTCACTGGAATCTACTTCAGCCACATGCTTCCAGACGTGTTCTGGGATGCAAAGGACAAGCCGTCAAATAGAAAGCTTTTGGGGGAAGCATCTTCAACAGCTGCTGTGAGGACACTTCCCTGGAAGCCCAACAAAGGCAGCAGAAAGGGGAGCACCTGGCGACCTCAGTTCATCGCCATGGTGCCAGCCTACATCATCTCGGTATATAAGTGAGAGAGTCCTTTGCAAAAGTACTTTGCAAACAAGAAAGCATTTCCAAGCTAGTGGAATGCGAAGCACAGCGCGAAAGGGATAGGGTCTCTGAATTTGGTGCGCATGGGCCTGGCTAAATCACGGTCTAGTCACATCTTCAAGGGGGGTGTCCCACTGTCTGATTGGGTGTTGCTGACGAATGAGGAGATCAACACAAAGCACAAGGAGCTGATGGGCTTACTCCAAGATTGTCAGTATGGGCCATTCAAGATTGCAGTTGCCTTCTTTGGCCTGGACAAAGCAGTAGAATTGGGCATGACCACCGGCACGTACACTAATCACCCAGCCATGTCATTGATCGCACTCAAGAAGCGGCTACAGCCAGCATCTGACTCTGAGGTGGAGATTGTAGAGGAGGTACAGCACACATGACGCAGGCATTAGGGTGAACATATCTGCCATTGCGACTGTACCGATGGCGGATCTATAACGACCACAGACTTTACAAGTGACACACATATCATACCCCTATGCACGTAATAGTTCTAATAACATGGTAGTAGACAAGTACATTCTCACTCACCACACGAGCTATAAGTGAGGTGTCAAGAGTAGATGCGCAACCAGTGTAGGAACATATTCCTGGTTAGGCTTACTTTACCCCTATTTACCTTGCTTGTGTTGGCACTTGGATAGCTTACATAATCATGTTGGTCTTTACCCTTACCCTCACCTGGAGTGACTTTGAATGCAGTTTCCCTTACCCTCTCTCCCTCTCTGAGCTCTGAGCCTGGTCCAGAAACCCTGGGTCTTACACTGTCAACTCTGACATAGTAGCTAGGCAGCAAGACCCAACATCAGATTCCCACCAATCTGAATTGTTGTACCCACACCGGTTTCAGGATCTTTCATCCGACCTTCATCTACTGCTATACCGAGGGATGCAACACTTAGGTCTAGCCAAATAATAATGACATGTCTGCACATCAGCTACTCCTGCCCTGCATATATACAATACACTCCGCCATTGCTACTGTAGCGACGGTGGTCCATTATGGATATGTGGGGACATTTACATGTTATATATGTTGGTACTACATACATATATATGGCATTAGTCTGCCATGGCAACTGTAGTGATGGAGGACTATATTGTATACAGTACAAACAATAGTGCTGGTGTAGTACTTGCCACTTAGATATCATTTGGAATATTTGGGTGGTGGAGCTGTCTATGTGTAGAATCTGTTGAATTGGTTGAGGTACTATGAGAACGTAAGCTTTGAGTGAAGAGATTAACTAAGTAACAAAAGTCCAAGTGAGTTAACAAACAAATTTAATGAGATTTTGGGCACATGTCGAAGGGTTTTTGGCCAAAACACATCTTGGGGCTTTTCTTAAACGGGGCATGAGCGAGCTGAGATGTGCGGGTGGGCCATGCATCAGGCCATTTGAAGGACATTTGAAGCTTCAATCAAAATTGGTTGATTGATAGAGTAGAGTGTCTGTCAATCAGGTTAGTTGAGTCACTGGAGCAGGCAAAAATCAAAGACCATCTGCTTGAGCCTAATCTCCTCTGGTCATTCCAGACAGGTAAGTCATCACTGTCCCTTGGGACACGATCCCCTATGGCTCTGGTCTGTCCCAGTCATTTTGGGGGCGAAACCAGTCCTCTACTGGGCAACACCATTCCGGCCTTCGAAGGGTTGATCCAAAGGTGGAAGCTTGTGGCGGATTTGAAACTCACCAAGCTGCAACAGCGGTATCATGTTCGCCCTTTGGCAAGTTTCGCAACTGCGGCAGGGCATACACAGCTCTATGGGTGCTTGCCAACTCCTCATCCCGACGCATGCATAAACAGGGACTTGCCTACCGCTGACAAGCTCTTAACAGAAGAGATCAATGCTAATGGAAATAGCTACAGCTCTTATATGAATCGCTCATTTGTGATGGCACAAAAATTCGACTGGGACCGCGCACTTCAAGACGCACTCAAGGTCACATACACAGTCACATTTTGACCTCGCTATAATAGGCTAACTCACATGGTGGCATAGAGCATGAGCATTCAGCCCTCATTGACAGGCTGTATCTCCAAGGGTATCTCCCTCTGCGGAAAAAGGCAATTTGGCGGCGCAATGAAAGCATTTGACCTTGCTTTCATGTTCGTGGACATAGATTCAAACACCACTCATCTTCTGCTCTTGATTAAGGTACCTCAATTTTGCCTCGCATGCTCCCTGTTTTATGATGTCTCTTAGGCTATCACCCTTTTTAATGCAAATCAACATAACGAGGCAATTCTGCGCATCCAACAACTGGCTGCCACTTGTCCAAATGTTGATATGGTTGCCTGTCGTAATGTGGAAGTAAGTCCTCTCAACTCTGTCATGTCCACAATCATGTGTTGACACTGATCTTCACTTTGCACATTAGGCGTATATGCGTGTTCAGCTGGGACTAAATGCATTAGACTGCGCGGGTCACATCAAAGCCGCTACCCATTTCACTGCCACTGTAAAAATCATTGCTTGCTCATCTAAATGGGACCCTCATTCTCAATGTCAAGACTTTGCCGTGGTACGTCAATATGATGCAACCAAACATGCTATTCATGCCCAATGTGCCTTCTCCAGCTCTTCAGGTGGCATCTGGAGTCCTTGTGGGAAACCGTCAACCAGAACCGGTGTTATGCACTCCTTCGGGCAGGTAGAGCTAGAGAAGCCCGTCAATTGTATCGATATATGATGGATATGAGTGATGGAACTATGAAGGCTGGGTGCTTCGATTGGTCTACTGGCAAGTTGTCACCAATGTCACCAGGATACAATTCTCCTTACCAGTGTTTTACTAGCTTTCAAGCAAGAGTACAGCATGCTCTCGCTCTTATCTTGGATACCAGTTGACGCATGTGGTGCTTCACAGTGCGCAACATTATGATGAAGCAATTGAGGCCTTCCAGGTCATGCTTTCCAAGTTGGATAGTGTCCATGACACACAAGTACGAGGTAAGGCCCAAACTAACACATGAGTCAAGCTTGAATCTTTCTCTAGAGCTGCACCGGCAATATGTCTCACTATCTGAAGCTGAGGGCGCTGTCCAACAGATCATCCATGCTCAACTCGACAATGCCCCCTATCGTCTGGCCAGGAGACGGAAGGATTGGAAATGGACCGCAACAGCAGAGTTAGGATGTGCAGCTCAAATCTGAGCTGGAGATGCTTATTGAACGGCTAAAGGTGCGTGCAAACGACGATCAAAGTAGAACAAGTAACTGAATTGGTGCCAGGAATTAAACACAGATCTCTACCGTCCTGCTCTTGAAACGCTCCGGACACTCATAAGAACATCCACTTTGTCTATGACTTCCATTCCCAAACCACTCAAGTTTCTACGCCCACATTATCCCAGTCTGCAGGAGCTGTTCGAGACATGGCCTGCATCTGAAAACACGGTATGAGGAACATCTTTCTGTCAACTATATGAAACTCACAAGGCAATTGGCAGCTGCAGTAGCTGAGATATGCAATCTACAGGGTTTCTCGCGATTCCTGCTCCCACCTTTGTACAAAGACTTGCAAGCAGCAGTGTGCCATGGCCCAGTTATCATTCTCATTGCGAGCAAATACTCATGTAATGCCATCGTGGTTCCGACAGTAGGACAGCCCCGTCATGTTCGCTTCCCGCGCATCACTTTTGCAGATCTGGAGCAGCTCAAGAACAATTTCGCTATGGCAATCCAACATGCAGCTCGTATGCACCCACAGCAGCCGAGGAAGAAGTTGCGAGTACGCTTGCGAATATTATGAGACGAGATTCTCGCCATGACCTACTCCGATACCGAACTACAAGGAACTCTCCGACAATGAACTATGAAGAACTCTCTGCTAGGACCACTACCGCCTTCTGTCTGCATCTCTCCTACCCCCTACATCACTACCACCTGCAATTACCCCCCATACCCTTTGTACAACACATTCCCGCGTGCTCCTGCCCTTTGTGATTGAGGATCAAACACCTCCACCCAACGACACCGACTCCCGCCCTTCGCAACCAAACACCTTCGACATCCAATGCCGCCACCTTGATCTCCACAACACTCTTTCCCCTCCTCTCCTTGATTTGGTGCGTTTCTTCGTCACGCTTGGCTCGTGTAGCTGCCGTGGGGGAGAAACACAGCACAATTCCTGCTTTACATTAGTTTTTGATCAAACACTAATGAAATAATGACATACTTGATCTTGGGGGGCCATTAGCACCCGTTTGATTATCGATCATGTGTTGGTACTAGTTAGATCTTCGATAATTCTAAATTGTAATGTATTTTTAATGTACAGTTTAAAATAAATATTTAAGCTGGCTTTAAGCCCCAAAATTGACTTAGCTGTGGTTCCTGAGCCGAGTCAAACCTTAAATTAAATAAGCCAAAGTCACATGTAAGCTCGGCTATCGAATGTTCTGACCCTGGCTTAAACCAGCAATAAGCTGGAGCCACAACAACACTAATTGGATGTAGTCTCAGGAAAATGGTTGCTGCAAGCTCGATTCGAGAGAAAGCTGCTGATCATAATCTTATCCTTGCTGTCAACACATTTCATGGCCACGTGCACAATCACAAGTGCCAGCTGCAACATCACCCTCTTTACCTTCATGGATTTGGGCTCGAGGACTTGGAAACATGCGAGCGTGTGTTCGCAGCCTCTAATGCTGCAGCGCCACTTATATGTCATGCTTCGCATTTCCATTATGTTCAGTTCCTGGAGCTTCATTTCGACCAGTGGGATATCAATAAGTACCTTGAACTTAGTAAGTGCGCCACTTAGTATTATAATTTCGGGTCATTCAATCATTTGATTTAGGCCGGTTTATTCTGAATAATTACAAGCAAGTGCTAACTGTGATTTCCGACTACACCAAGGAACTCAAAGCTTATCGCGCAACATTCCCCGGGGAGGGACTTGATTTTGAAAGTTGTATTGCGGAAGAATTCACTTATCTGGAAGCCGTGGCCGTAGAGCCTGCACAGGATGCTACTGCAGTCGAGTATGTTGAAGTGCTTGAGAAGCTTGAGAAGTGCCAGTGAGTCATTTTTTTAAGTTTGCATGATAAATCATGAACATGTTCCAGGGCCACTTTTGAAGCTTTGCATAACAATCAATTTGTGTCATACACGCCCTCTTCATTCTCGGGCCTTAGTCAAGATGCTTTGCATGCGACAAAGCAAGGACATGCAGCTCGATGTGCTGCCGAGCAACGCCTGCAAGTCCAGATACATGTTGTCGAGGATATTGAAGATCGAATGAGTGTAGCCATGTGATGGTCCCCTCAGTCTCAGGAGTATATCAAACACTGGAATACAGCTGAAAGTGTCAATTTATTCATGCTATCGAAGATCTTGAAGGTCTCATTGTGCAACTCATGTTCGAGCTATCTAAGGCAAATCTTGCATCCACAGGTATCTATCAGTCTTCATGTATATTTTGCCACTCATGTGATTCTAGGCTACAAACTTCGGAAACAGATCTCCAAAGCCATTGTGAAGCATTCTGGTGCGATCCAATCAGCACTCGACAAATACAACAAGCTTGCTCTCTCTCAAAACCCCCAATGGCCTACCCTTCAATACAGTGAGGTCATGTCTTGTGTGGCTCTCGGCGAGTTCGAGATTCTCAAGTGCTCATGCCATGACATACTTGCAAAGCCATGGAGCAACGGCATCCATTGTGAGATGTCCAATAAGTATTTCAAAATCATTTGCGCGCAGGAAGAAATAACTCAACTGAATGTTGAAATACAACGCCTGCAGGCATGGGTTGACATGAAGGATTCTGATATTGAATGGACGGCTACAGAACTCGATTCGACAGATACGTGACTTGCTGTGGAGTTGTGGTTACTGTACAATTGTCAACACCAGATTAACGATGTGCATCGCAACTGCCTTGCACGCATATATAGCTTACCAGGTTACACCGGTTCTATCCCCTTGCAAGTGAACACAGTAGTCACTGGCAGTGACAATGAGGAGGAATATGATCCAATGTTAGAAGGCGAGGTGTCGGCACAGTTCGAGTCCTGTATTCAGCAGATTTCACAGTGATGTCTAGTTGTAGCATGATGTCGCTTTGACAATGTACAAGAACTCGATTGGTTTCTGAAGGCATTGTGGGAGAAATTGTAGAAGTCCGCTATAGTGACAGCATACCAATCCTGCTGGGTGCGAGAATAGTGGTTGACCCAAGGGGATAGCTTGGAGAGCAGTTCCTCAAGTATAAGAGTGAAGGGAACTAAGTAGTGGAAGAGATGGCTTGCGACAAGGCGACTGCATATGTGAGGATGCGCAGAGATGCGAGGCACGCGGATGCGGAGTAAGCGAGTGGATGTCTAGAGAGTACCAGGTATGCGGAACAGGTAGGGTACCAGGTATCAGAACAGGTAAACGGGTAGAGCGAGCTATGTACCAGGTATATGCGAAGACACGCGGGAACTGTCTTGTGAGTGAACTTCATTGTTCCATCATGCCCAGTAATGCAGAAAGCCAATCTATTAGACTTGAAAGTAAGTCACTCCCTATCACCTTGGGATCTCTTTTGTGATATTCTCGCTCTATCAATGGAGATTAGAGCGTCCTTTGAGCTCAATTGAATGCTAGGCAATGGTGAAATCATTGGAAGACTTCAAACATCGTGGGATGAGTTGCTCGATCATGGAGATGAACAATTCGGTGAGTAACCTACTTCTCACTTATGCGTATCTACTCATATCCCATAGAACTGTCCTTCCCACCCATTCGCAAACACAACATCAGCAGCAAGTCGCGGCAAGCAGATACTATGGCTTATAGGCCCTCAGCCCTTCCTGCGCAATGTGCAACGTCGTACCAGGTCTTCACCATCGATGAAGCACTATAACCCTCTCTTCCCATTTTCCTCCCGCCTGTGCAAAGCCCCGCCTACCCTCTCCCTTTCAGTGACATGTGCCAGCTCCTCGCAGTCCCGGGCACTTCTACCATCTCTGCTCGATCTCTTCAGCAGGCACCTCGCCAGGTTTTGGTGTGACTCAAGAGCTGCAAACACATCTCGCTCAACATGTGCCTTCTCAACCGCCCTCGCCTCTTGCACCACCTACCTAATGCACTATTCACTCACTGTTCCGTTTCTGCTCACCCCCAGTTTAACATTGACTTTCTTGTCCTGCGTGTCTTGAAGATTGACGAGTCGAACGTGTGTGAAATTTTCCTTGTCAGCGGTTCAACTTGTATCCCCCATATCATCCCTGATGAGGCTCACGTCACCCATGACAAGAGGTGTGCGATCGGTTTGTTCCAGACACTAACACTTTTAGTTCGGCAACCCACCACCACCACCATTACAGTGACCTCACATGAGGTCACATGGCCAAATCGAGTAATTCTGTAATGTTTGAAATTTTCACTGGTACATGGAGATGCGTCTCAATATTCATGCGTCATTTACACCTCATATGCAATATAATGAGACAGAAACATGCATGAATTGATTCCTGAGTAATACTATGCAACTAGAAGCTATGCAATCCGCGAGAACATGAAGTAGCGAGTGTAAGAAAGCAAAATGATAGCGAGCGAGCGAGAGTCTTGTACGTGCGATCATGAAAGCATGCGAAGAAAATGAAACAAACAAACTGACTATATGGATTTACGAGCTTTCTTCACATTTGTGCCACCGGCGTTATTAGTCCTGCGCTTGTGGGTGCTTGGTCCAGGGTAATTCTCTTTATCATCATCGAAAACAGGCTTGAGCCACTGCATCTCAGGAATGCCGGCGTCACATTGCTCGAGGCTTGTCAGCGTGAATGTATTGAGGATGTCGAGTGGCAAAGGGTGACCATTGGGATTCTTAGGGTGCGAGTACTGCGGGTGAACATCATCAAGATGCTGAATCATATTGTAGCGCCAGATAGTGTCCACAAATACTGATTCAGCTTGAGACTTTTTCCCAGTGACAGGTGTTAGTGATGGATGGCAGAGTTCACACTTGAGTGGGACATTCCGTGAGGGTCAGTGCTTGGAACCGATGTCGGCGTTGACATATCAGAACACATGATGGTAAGGGCAGTGTGTTTCGAGTGATACACCGCCCTTATTCAAGGTCTTGATTTGAATCTTGCACTTGTCATGACCGGATCGGCCACAGAATCCACAAGGGTATATGAGACCAACCTGAAAATGGGTAAGTCTTGCTTGCGAACAAAACCTTGACACACACCTGCTCCTTTAGAGTCTTGTTGATGCTGTTAGATGCCCGCAAGATATGCAGACCGACGTGCACTCGCATTGAGTCGGTCTTCGCACCACATAGCGGACAGTCCTCCAGAGGTCCCGATTCTGCAGCGGCAAGCTGCTGACTTGCTTCAATGCAAAAGATACCTGCGGAGCCTGTATCACTGTGTTAGTAGGTATAATTAAGTTAAGAGATGAGAAACTCACCATCAGGAAGAGCATAAGGAAACGTAGAAGGATCGGAAGGGGTAGGGACACAGAGAATGTTTTTGATAGGAATTGAATGCTCGCAGGCGGTGCGCCAAAGAGTGTCACATGCAAGAGAAAGAGCCGACTCTTTGATGATCCACGTGTTCCCGAGGTTATTCAATGCAAAAAACTTGTCGGAATTGATGTCAGCCCGCATATGAATGCACATTGTCCCGGGGTTAATGAGTTCTACCAGACATCCCGGCACTGTGATTTCAACAACCTTTTCCGTGGTTTGCGTGGTGCCTTGAATCTCCGAGTTCGTTGTGACATAATTCCCCATCCAGAGCCAGGAGCGCTGATCAATAGGTTGGTGCGTAGGGATCAATGTGAGAATTTGGCCAGTGATTTTAATGTTGGGGGTGTGAACATTCGAGACAAGGATATGATGGCGTGTAATACTGTGGTGTTCGATTGATGTGGAATGCACAAGTGCAATAGTGAGCAAGAGGTTGATGCGGATGATTGTGAGGAAAACATCGCCAATGATGAATGTATCACCACCGGTGATAGACCTCCCTGGGAGCTCATGTCGCTGATTAACCTTTGTGAAACCGATGCTATAAACTCGCTCCTGTCTATTGAGAGACTTCATAATGAAATACTTATTGAGCACCCGTCGACAGATCGTTTCCTTGTGGATGTACTTCCCATGGACAAGAAGGTAATCGTCTGGATTAATCCCAGGGCCGCTAACAAGAGCTGGAGTATCAGGACGTGAGGTCGATGGAATGGTAAGGTCAATGTTCGGGCTTCCGAATTCAACACCATGAGTAAGGGCTTCCTCCAGAGTAAGGACATCATCATCTAGCTCAGGCTCCTCTTCGACACTGGTAGGACCAATAAGCGTCACACCTGGTAGGGGTTGTGGGAAGGGCAGAAAGGTAATGAACAGTATCTCCTGTGTCACTGTCGTGTCCGACACTGCTTCGACATCTGATATCCCCAAGTACCTGTTTGCCCCCCAGGGCCGCATAAGGTCACAGCCATCCTGCAAAAAAAACTCCTTGAACGCGCAGCAGACCGCAGACATATGGGCGTCTGTGACCACAGTCAGTGCCTCATCACAACCATCCTTCCACACTGAGGGAAGGTCACAACACATAATGCAGTGACATATTCCCTTACTTATAGGACAGCCCATGTTGACATTCCTCCATAAGAGTCGGGCCAACCCACCATGGGCCCACATTACTATGTACCCCTTACTAAAGGGATGGGCCCATATGTGAGATTATCCCTGCATATAGCGGGTGGGCCAGGTGGTAGTTAATACCCATGGCTCAGGGGTGGGCCCGCGCTATACACTTTGTGGAACCCAATAATATAATGGATAGTAGTGTTATGGTATATACTATCACTATTGAATGTTACCCGAGGGTGAGGGGTGGGCCCCTTATGAACTCGCCGACACCTGAGCATATCTCCGGCATGGCCGACATGGTATATACCCAAACATATCTGAGTCAGTATATCTATATCCATATAAATGACCGCCGAAAAATCTAAAATCACTGAGACGGGACAACTGCCGAGGGTTATGACTGTCATTCCTGAATCGCCGACAGCAGAATTGCCGGGATGGGACGATCGCCGATGGGTGCCTGACAGAAAAATTGCCGGGATTGGACAATCAGCGATAGGTGCCAAATCCCCCAATTGATCACTGTCCATACTGGGACCGCCGAGAGCATTTATGACCGCCATTCCGGTATCACCAACAGCATGTTGCAGTGGCAAATATTTGAGGGCGGCAATCAGTGAGGAGAGTGGTCTTTCTGGGCATATCCCATAGTCAAAGCCGGCAACCTTCAGTAATCTGTATGTATTGGCAACTATTGGTTTGCTATGTACATCTGTTATACATGCATTTGAATGTCAGAAACTCTCAAGTCCTGTTTTCGGTGCCGCTGACTATTGAGCTGGTACCGTGAGTAGTCAGCTCGGGGGATATCTACAAACTCGTGTACATCATCCCTCATATACCACACCCAGGCTATTCGGCCGGCGTCCATATCCACCCCATGCCTGACAATTCTCCCTGAACCAGCAGCCATGGCGCCTGGACCATAAACAATTTCAAGCCCTATATTCGGCATCTTCATCCTTGCCGGTCCATAATTGCCGACGCTAGTCATGACATCGAACGATTGGGGACGGGACAAAGGATCCCGGTGCAAGGGTGAGCGCCGGTTGCATACAATGGCGACAGCTGTAAATACTGATGCCCATTCTCTGAGGCGAGCACCCATTTCATCCAATTTCGTGTCTGCTGCCCAGAGGCCAAGGGCCAGCTGTGTTGCTAATGATGCCCGATAGAGGTCAGGGTGCATGACTCTCAAGGCGGCGGCAATGAGTGCCGCCGGTCTCTGCATTGCCTGACACAAAGAGCTTCCATCCCGTTTCAGAGTCGCCGAGACCTGCGGATGAAACTTGGGAGCCTGGGATGAATGAGCATCAGTGAGACAAGATGTCGGGATGTGAACCTAACTTACCGGATGGGCTTGCAAAAACCATGCCGGAGACAGGTTAATGCACCCCGGGGTGAGACCTTGCTGACTGGGCTCAAAGTTGGATTCGTGGGTCCTCCATTTACCGCCGGTTTCTGTACCGCGTGTGACACTTGCAGCCAGCAGGGCCGACATATTTGCAGTCGCCGCCACCATGTCATTCTAAGATTGTCAAAGCAATCATCGGCGGCGATGGGGGCAACTAACCTGTATGTCTATATCGATAGCTCCAGGGAGATACCATAGGATGATTATACCGAACTTATCGCAGACAACTGCAGGCCGATCGAGGAGGATTTGACGGTCCGGCGGATATCGGGAAAGCAAGTTTTCTTCACGATCGGGTTTTGTGCCGGTCTCCATCATCTGCAGCGCATCTGCATACCTGGCAACATCGAAGTTTATTGTAACTAATGCCGGTGTAAGTGGAGCGAGACTGCTGGGACCGACAAATGAGTCATACCTGGATTACGATAGGCGTCGGCGAGGGTGCTAGCAAGTTTGGAGCATCCCATGAGCATGACAAAATCAAGCTCGAGGGGAGGAAGGACATTCGGCTGTCCTGATACCAAAGCGGAGAACTGATGAGAGACATATTCGCTAGCAATATGGGTTGTGGCCAAGGCCCAGTCGGGGGGAATAGGGTTCATGCAAGATAACAACAAAGGCTGTGGCTTTATATGTCCAGCGGCAAAGCAATAACACAAACGAACATCCTGAAGTGATAAATGAATTCTCCAAAGGGGACGATGGGTGAGGACGGACGTAATAGTACATGCACACTGCATACATGTAATGACGTGTGACTGCGCAAAATATGTAAAGACATCAGTGTAATTGATGTGTTGACCTCATGGCTGCTGCATGGACCGGCGATACCTGTTCGGCACCGCCGCCATCAAATCACAATCCGGCGGAGGTTTAGATGGTAGCTGCCGCCAGATGGTGATTTGATGGCGGCAATAGCTATTATGTACACAACAGAGATACTATAGCATGGATGAACATCAAATGATACACTAAGAAAAATGTAATGAAAATGAATGTCTAGTGCGGCCTGCCTGATGCCGACTCGCCAAAGGCATGTGCACCTGCGCGAGAACTGCCGGCGATCTGATTGTGAGATCGGCCGGCAGATGGACCACCAGGGACGTTCCAGCCGGAACCACCGGCGACGTTGCCTACCGATGGGCCTCCCATGGCAGAAGCACCGGCAGGCAAGTTGAAGTATAAGTGCTCCATGGCTTGCATCTGGCCCATGCTAGGCATCATACTATGATTGCCGCTGTAAGATGGGTTGGCATGATACATTGGGCCGGAAAAGGGTGGAGGTATTGGCTGGTTGTGACCGAGTACACGATGACGAAGAGCGTTGTAGGCATCCTGAAGGACGGACGGTAGCCTGTTCTTGCCGGGCTAATTGAGCTTGAGCTTGCCGGATTGTCTCATCCCGGGTCACCGACTGCTCTTGCAAGGCGTTGACTTGATTTTGAAGTGCGTCGATGGCGGCGCGGAAATCGCGCAGTCCCTGGATGTCGGCATCTTGAGCATCGGTGCGGTCGGTCAATGCATGCACTAGGTCGGCAGTCGCTGTGTGCCGAGCTTGCAGTTTGGCAACTTCAGCCCGGACGCTGTTGGTGGATTCCTGGAGGCCCGACCGCTTTGATAGCAACGCCGCGCGATCATTCATGACCTCCAATGTCATCGCCTGCAAGTCATCAATCATGGCATCTCTGTCAGAATCCACTTCCATTGAATCCTGGAGGGAGGGAACAACCGACTGCCTGGGAGGATCAACTGTGGGGGGCGAGGATGGATCTGGGGATCGACTGTCGGGTGATAAAGTCGCAATCGGTGGCACGGAATATGCGGGTGCATGCGGCGCTGCAGCATCGGCTTCCATAACGATGTCTAGAATTGTCAGCGGCATGCATACCAAGGCAAGGAAAGACATTACCTTGTGTGGGGGGACGCCGGCGTGAACTCGAACGCGGGCGGCGAGGCTGACCCTTCGGCACCTCGCCGGCATCAATCTTGGAGCGGGAACATTTGAACTTGCCCTTTGAGCACCGGGCGCAGGCTTTCAGTGTGCCCCCGGAGGCACCATATCCCCGACGACAAATCACGGATCTGGACCAAGGAAACTCAGCTAATCACATCCAGTAATCATCCAGGAAGTACATACACTTTAATGCATTGGTCACAATGCGGCACCAACTCCGGAGCATCCTTGTCCTATGGCGCCGGAGTGAGATCAGCCACAATCAGAGGACCGGGGCACTTACAGCGGTGATATCTTCCTGGGGCGCATCGGCCGGTGGCGGCACTGGATCCTGAGCTATCTTTTGCTTCTTGGAGAATGTTGCCTGCTAGGTAATAATGAATATAAAAATCCATTGAGCGAATAATTGAACATACCGGCGGTGGGGCGGCATTCCCCGATGATGATTGAAGGCCACCAGGCGGCGCCGGTGTTGGACTGGAACCGGAGTCCCTTCTCCTCTTCTCAATGGCCAAAGTACGGCCTCGTCCCTGATCACCTTGCACATCTTCAGGCGGCACCACTTCTTTGGCCTTACCCTTGTCTAATTTACCCTCCGCCGGCTTCTTCTTTAACGCCGGCTTGGGCTTGGGCTTTGGCCTTGATGGGCCCGGGCCTGGCGTAGACTGTGCGACTGCGGCGGTGGATGTAGATGGCACCGGCCTCGATACCAAGATGGTGCGGGCCTTGTCTTTCAACGGATGCTGCTGGATCCGGGGATCATCGGCGCCGATGTTCTCCCACACCGGCGCACTGACAAACCATTGCCGGGTGTCATCTAGGTGTTCCTGCATCTCCATGGCTGCTGAGAGCAAGACAGGGGGGACCACAGTCGCCGAACTGGAATGCATTGCAAAAACCGGGGTCTACTCGAAATCAGCATATCACCCGGTGCTAATAGAGAAATACCCACCATGATATTCCCCACCTGCACAGCGAACCGAAGGTGTTCGGGATTACCGTCCTGCAACATGATCGCAACTGCCAGTATTTGAAGGACCTGAGCGGCAGCATCGCTCAAAGCCTTGTTGGATGTCTCAGCAGAGGGCATGATGGGAGGGATAAACTTGAAAGATGGACAATGGGCGGGCGATGAAAGACCTGGTAATATGCCGGTAGGAAGCAAAGAAATTTTAAAATGAGTGGTTCCTGGCACGGCAGGCAACTCCATGCGGCAATGTTTTAATTAAAAAGGAAGCGTTTTGAAATCACGTGTCCAACTTCTGGCACCGAAATGCTTTGTTTGGGCTGCTGAATTTAAAGTTCCGCAATCATCCACAATCCACACAATCAGATATTTAACACGGCCGAATCCAGTTGTCGTCACTTAATTTTTTATCCTCCAACTTAATTGTGAACGCCATGTCACTACCAGAGCAACACCAAGTCCGATTCGAAATTCCAATGGATACCAATGATGAATCTCGATATGGATCGGCGACATCCAATGCCGCCGTGGGTAACACAGGTAAGTCTTGTGTCTCAGTCGACTGCTCTGATCTAATCAGACCTCAGCATTTTATTTTGGAATTGGCGCGCCGGCGGTGCCTCCGCTGCCAAGGTTCAACTTCGGCATGGACATCCCCATGTCGTCGGTGGCATCCGCATCCCCCACAATGCAGCAGCCATTCAATTTGGGCTTGGACCTCCCACCTCGCTCTATCCCGGCACAAGCAGAACCGCCTGCCGGCCAAGTGCTCCAGCCATTCAATCTGGGCTTTGACCTCCCGCCTCGCTCCACCCCGGCCCAAGCAGAACCACCTGCCAGCCAAGTGCTCCAGCCATTCAATCTGGGCTTTGGCCTCCTACCTTGCTCCACCCCGGCCCCAGCAGAACCACCTGCCGGCCAAGTGCTCCAGCCATTCAATCTGGGCTTTGGCCTCCCGCCTCGCTCCACCCCGGCCCAAGCAGAACCACCTGCCGGCCAAGTGCTCCAACCATTCAATCTGGGCCTTGACCTCCCACCTCGCCCCACCCCTCCCCAGAGACAACCACCTGCCGGCCCAGTCCTGCAGCCGTTTAATTTGGGCTTTCAGCTCACCCCGCCCTCCACCCCGCCCCAGGCAGAACTGCCTGCCAGCCCAATCCTCCAGCCATTCAACCTTGGCTTCAACCTCAACATCCCCATCAAGCAGCCACAGGAGGTGGTACCGGCGGTACAAACTGGAGACCGGCATGTGGGCTATACTGCCGCCAATAGGCGTAAGTTCGATTCCTATGTATTAGTCAATTCTGACCCTCCAGCAGCATTCCAGTTCAACTGTGGGCCTCTCCCGCCCATAGGAGATTGGGAACCGGTGCCGATCCGAGCACCATCGCTGATGCCCGCCGATGGCCCATCTGGTGCCATGCCGCCAGCGCCGGTTGCACCGCCTGCAAGGAGGCCGCAGCAGCCAACATTGGCATCTTTAATTGGCAATGCCGAGCAAGCGGCGATCGACATCGTCAAACACCTCCATGGAGACGAATGTAAGCCACAACTCCGCATAGTTGTATGCTGTTTAACTAATTTTAACCAGTTGATTATGTGGCAACGATGATGGTCGGCGGCCGCATTCGTGCCACCGAGAACGTCCGGGACCCTATGCCCGACGAAGTCTTGGACAGCAACCGGGTTATGATATCGGCGTTCTGCGAAAACCGGGACAGGCTGACCAGGATCTTCAAGGACATGATCAGCTTGCATCATATGGCACAGGTGCAGGAAAGGGTCGCCCCAATGGTGAACTCCCTATTGTGTGAGGTGGAGATAGCAGAGGAATTGATTGCCACCTCTGATGAGTAGAAGCTAAAATCTCAATTTGTTACATGTATCCTGTGCCATATCACCGGTGACAATGAAATGTACTATATTACCCATACCCATATGGATCAGTGAGATGACCGGCGGCGGCACATCAAATGGTATTTGAAACAAGGTATATCATGCGACATGGCATCATGCGACATGGCATCAAGCCGGCAAAAACATCTTGGGATTTGATACCGGCGGTGCTCACAATGGGAGATATCATTTGGCATAGGATGGTATTTCAATTGTAGCTCATATACATGATCATTATGATAGGCGGCAATGATCACTTCCTACTCCGTTTGGCCTTTGGAGCGTCAGCAACCGCTGCCTTGCTCCTGGTTCTCCTGGCCGGCGTGTCACTGATGGGAGCGGTGGCAAGGCGTTTTGATGCCTTGGTGGGCGGCTCATTCTCAACTGGAGCCCGGCGTTTGGAAGCCTTGGCCTGTGGCTCATTCTCAACTGGAGCCCGGCGTTTTGATGCCTTGGCCTGTGGCTCATTCTCGGCGGCGGCATGGCGTTTGGAAGCCTTGGCCGGTGGCTCATTCTCCACATTGGAACGAAGACCTTGCCTTGCGGTCCGGGGACCTGATTTTGCCGGTTCATCTGCTGTGTTGAGCGCAACTGTGATATTGCTGGCCATCTTTGACCTGACTGGAGGTGTTGCCTTGGTATATCTGTCGGTGGAATCATTGATGTGAGGGGCAAGGTTGTCAGATGCCAACTCATCACCGGGGCCGTCAATGGATACCGGCGGCAGACCTCTCTGAACTACCTTGATAGGGAATGATTCATTCCTGTCATTGGCAGACGTTGAAACCTCCTGATCTTCGTCGGCAGATGACTGACGCTCCTCTTCCTCTTCTTCCTCATCACCGCTTTGCTCATCCTGTCTTGAGGCATGTTTCTGCTTGCTGGTGCTCTGGCCACGCCGAGTCGCTCGCCGCATTGCCCCGAGAAAAGATTTTGCCGGCTTCTCCATGTTGCCGTCGGTGTCCTTCCAAGCTTTGAAGCAGAAGGTTGGGCGAAGCTTCCTTTGCTGTCGGCGATGCCAGAAATACAACAGAGCGGTGGCGTCTGCTTTGTCCATCTTTGATGGTTCCACCAACTGCACGTCAGCGGGCCAGTAGGCGTCGTCGAAGAAATCTGATTGGCTCTTTACCAAGTCGCCCCATGGCACCGCCGCCGCGGCTTTTTCCTTTCCCATGCACATCCCTGGTGAAATTAATACCCGGCGGCATAGCAAAGAAGAACTAAACTGACTGTAGTGCCTAGTGAGGAATGACCGAATGATATGCTGTTGTTCACTGCGTTTCCAGCCTGTGGTGTCCGGGAGCATTGGCCACCCATCATCATCCTCCTCCAGTTCAAGGAGCTTTCGGGGCACGCGTTTCTTGGCTGTCACAATCTGGGGGACATCTTGATCCTGGACATCTGAATATTTGTGCATTAGAATGCCGCTTCATTCTCTTGGATTGGCATCTCACCGAATTGCTCGCCGCCATATTGCCGCCAGTCCGGCATGAAGTTCACTTCCCAATCCCTTGTCTTCAGAAAGCTTTCACCGCCGCCACACTGCTCATTGAAATCATGTCTTAGAAAATTTAGATCTGGCTGACCGGCGGTACAATTCAAACATCACTCACACTCCCAACATAAGTTTGCCTTCCCGGTTCTGCCATGCCGACATCACAAAGATCCTCATTCCAGCCTGCTTGAACATTTCGGTCGCAAAATGCTCAATCATGTCGGCGCCTTTGATCTCGGCGACATTGGCTTGGATGTCCGGCGGCGCAGCTTCATTGTTCCACTTCTCTGCGGTCACTCTAGCCTCTTCCTTCTCCTCTGCCGACAGACCGGCAAGCACTGTCTTTGTGGCCTCCGGCCACTTGGTGATCATCCCCTCACTCCCAGGTGTTTCTCCGGTCTCCTCTCGTATCTGGGCTTTGTTCTGCTCAATCAACACCCGGTGAGCGGTCCATTTCTTGCCATACTTGATGAGAGGCTTTGGAGCCTTCCGGCAACACTGGTTGTAGAGCCATTCCTTGTAGGTCTGTTGTTGGAAATAAATAGCTATAGCATGCATATATGTACAATGGCACATACCTTTTTCCGGCTTTTGAGCATGGCTTTGTCACGGGTAGGAGCTTGGAGGCAAGCTTCCCTGTGGATGGCATTCAATACATTCTGTCTCTGTTTACCTTTCACAGTCCTCCAGTCCTCGAGGTGGGTCTTGAGGACAGCAATTTTGGCCTTGATCAACGGAAGCTTTATCTGCTGGGGGACAATGACCGGGGATTCACTCCGAGCCATTTTGTGAGATGGCCGTTGGTCTGAATGGTGGGATATTGAAAATTGTAGGTTTCGACTACCCTTACTCGGATCCCTCGGTTCCTATGACATTTCATGTTATTTACATATAGCTACATGATAGCTGTCAACACAATGCATCAGCCTGCTATTGCTTGCTCCTCTTGTGCAGACATGGCTGTCTGTTATGCATCCATGGCTCCAATATTAGCATCACATATTCCAGTTGAAACGAAGCCTAATAGAAGCCTAATAATAAGTATGTAATGGATGTCTTATGTCAGTATATGTGCAAAGCATGTCACTATCAGCATGCCATGTATTGCTTGCCCCTTGTATGTACACATGACTGTAAGTTATATATGCATGGCAAACTCTGAAATCAGCATCATGTCTACCTGATGAAACAAACCCTTTGCAAGACTGATTGAAGCCTAATCCTCGGTGTTTGATGATGGCACATGAGAACACTGATACCGAGCATGCATTACATCACAGTTTGTTCTGGTTTAGAAGCGGGTGATCTCAGCTTCCATTAGCTTCTATCATCACATACCATCGGCTTTAGCACATGAGGGGCTCCAAAGTGCAGGAGTGGACTCCTACCAGCAATATTCGTCTGGTGGAATGGAAGAAAACATATCGCACCAGGAAAGCAACTGGGAAATGGGTAGAGAGACCCAAGACCCGAAAAATTCAATCAGTTCCGGCCACCCCTACCAAGTCATCATTGAACCAGTGGCCATCCGAGGATATGCTATTTCTAGGTGGAGATGATTGTGTCGGCGACCTCAACCAGCAGGATTTCATACCCCTGAAGCTACCAAAGTCTCTGGTAAGCCCTGCCCAGCAGCCATAGGACCTCGTTCTGTCCCTCACTCAGTTTGTTTCAAGAGTCAGAATGACTATCTTCAGCAATGGGTCCCAAGGACCAATAGATATCTCAGCATACTCCTTGAACGAGAAGCTCCTGCCGACTGGTCTTGCATCATTTGCGGGACCAATGGTGTCTACAAATGTCACAACTGCTTCGGTGAGCCTCTATTTTGCACAAATTGTTGCAGGACGGAGCACCAGAGGCTGCCCTTCCATAGGATAAGTCAATGGACAGGTGGTTTCTTCGAGGACTGTTGCCTGGTAAAGACTGGGCTAGTGATTTCACTGGGGCACGGCGGAAATGTGTGCCCACGCCAAAACTATGGGGTCGATGATGCTGGTGATGAAGGATTTTTTGCTGCCGCCGACACCGACACCGATGCCGATGCTGATGCCGAGCATGCGACAACGCCAACAGCCAATATTAATACATCAAAGAACCATCACGATCTGCCTACTGGAGTGCCATTCATAAAGAATGACAAGACCATGACAACAATAGTGGACAAGTCTGGAGTACACACACACATCATCAAGTATTGCATATGCGCCGATGCCCCAAGCGCCGACCTACAGCTGTTTCGATTGGGCTTGTTTCCTGCATCCTTTACCCAACCAAAGACCGCATTCACTTTCGATGTATTGGACGACTTCTTACTGGATAATTTGGAGTGCGGGACCTCGGCGATGAATTATTACAGCAAGTTGAGGAGGATGACAACCAATGTCTTTCCGCATTTGGTGCCGGTGAGAGTATTCATCCATCGGCGGCCCAATGTAAAGTTCACAACTCCATAGGACCGCTACCGGGAGCTCATGCGAGTGGCAAGGCAGTGGCGGCAGCTGAAGCTATTGAAATGGAACGGCTTCGGCCACGAGGAAAAAGATGTAAAACCCGGCGATCTCGCTCTCTTCTGCCCGGCATGTCCCCAGCCGGGAATTAATGTGACATTGCCAACTGCAGAAGGCCCTGTGGAGATCGATAGCGCATCAGATCTGGAGACGCCGAGTTGGTTGTATTCAAGATCGCTGGTCATGGATGGCAACTTCAAAGCGGAGCATATGCATGCGGCGAATCCGATTGATGAAGTCCCCCTGATGGATGGACGCGGCTTCATGGTCAGTGACAGCAAATACAAGGCGCATCTGTCTCTGGCAAAGGACGCCGCTCAACGGTCCGAGTGCAACAACCACCGCGCGGTGAATCAAGCCAATGCATCCCGCCACAGACTGGAGGCAACCGGCATCGGCGGTTGTGCCTGCGCCAGGCATGGCTGCTTCGTCCCGCATGCAATGGTGGATTTTCAGAAGGGAGAAAGGTAAGTAATTAGTGTATCCGTGCCTTGAGATCCTCGCCGACGCACATCAGGCAGATGAACATGGACTATGCTTTGTGTGAGGCATTGAAGCACAACGCCGGTGGCATCCGGCGCGCACTGACCTTTTATGATGTTAATTGCCAGTACCATAAGTATCTAAAGGATCGGGTAGCTGACAGCCCTTATTTGCAAATTCAAGAGGAGTTGGAGATAATACCGGGGATAGGTCTATGGCATGTTCATGGCCACCAAGACAGCTGCTATGTTCGCTATGCTTCTAACTTCATCGCCGGCGCTGCCAGAATTGACGGCGAGATCATGGAGACCCTTTGGGCGCCGTTGAACATAATCTCTCCTTCGGCGCGGGGGATGGGGACCCCTCACCGCAAGGAGTGCCTGGATTACCAAATGAATGATTGCAATTTCATGAAAATGATCAGGATGGGTGGGTGCTCCCTTGGTCCTCAATCAATTTGCTCACTGGATCATGCAGGCAAGGCCCTTTGCCGGAAATTCAGGCAAGCTGTTAAAGGGCTCGCCGACAGCAGGGAAGCCTTTGAGAAGCTGGATCTGAGTGCCGACGAGAAAAATGTCAGGGACTGGGGAGAGCAGGAGAGGATGGCACAGGAACGGCATAGCACCGATCCAACGGCAATGGACATTTACGAGGTTCAACTTCAAAAAGGTATGCGCCTTGAATATCAGCGACATCCAGGCTTACCGCAAGGTAGCGCCGACCAGGAAAGAACAGGAATTAAGGTTGCTGGATGAAAATGGCCAGCAACCTGCTCCTGCTCGGCGAAGGGGAGCGGCGACATGGCTGGCAGAAGGGCTTTCAATCGAGGAGGCACAGGTGACTCTCCACATGGATGTTCGAAAGCTAGGGCGGCGGCCGACGGAGAACCAACGATTGGAGATTGGGCGGCGTCGTGAGAGACTGCAAGGAGACATTGACCGTTGGTCGGCGACGGGTTTGGTGATGCCGACCTCAACATCATGGAACATGAGCTGCTGATCCTTCAAGAAGACTCAGATGATGAAACGGCTGATGAATTCAGACTGTTTGAGCCCGAAAAGGTTGTAATACCATTGCCATCCAATCTGGGCCAGGGGAGATGCGCCGAGCTCGGCGCCGCAGATGTCATCCATCAAGAACGTGTTCTCCGGGAAGGACAAGCCAATGACGCCTTGCACAACATCAGAGTGCACCTGGCAGACAAGGCGGTCATCTTCCGAAAGACTGTCAGAACGGCGAAGTCGCAAGCAAAGTCCACCAGAGCTTGGGCCCAGATCCATTCAGTGGACCGGGCGGTAAGCATCAATGCAAGCATATATTCCAAGTGCCGGTCTCAACTCGGCAAGCTCGGCGCCGCCGACATTTTACTGAACAGATACCGGCCATTGCTTAAAGAACATCTCAAGATCAGCACCGCCGTCGCCGATCCCAATGCCAGAGGCCAGAGAAACTCCATGTTGGCTTGGTTCTGGTCTATGGATGTGGAGGGAGACTCTGATAGCAGTGATTGGTTGAATGAATGTGAGGTCTTCACACATTCTTCGCCGGGTGCCGCTGACTCTGCCGACAACATTCAGTTTACCGGGTGCATTGGCTCCGAGCCAAGGCTCTAAGAGACCGTTGGGAGGAGGAAATGCTGCTTGTCCGGCATGAAATGAACTGGACATGCAACTTCTTCTTGCACAAAGCCGAGCAATGGATCCATCTGGCCAGCATCGCCAAAGCCGCCGACAAGGTGGGACACCTTGCCTATGCGGCGCGGCAGTGCAAAATGTATCAGCGGCTGTATGTGGATTCCCGGGATGCATTTGAAGTCTCAAAGGCGGCCCGGACCCAATGAATATCATGCCGGCGGTCTTATAGATTTATGCCTTTGACATCCCTGTAGTAATCAATGAAGTCTCCATATGTGGGGATTGCGCAGATTCGTGAGGTTTTGACATAGATGCATTGGGCGCTTGACTACCACCACTCGAAGATGATACATTGTCAGTGAGGTCGATATAATCGCTGAAAGGAAACGGCCTGAAGTGCTCCTCTCGTCTCTTGTTGATTAACTCCTGGTGTGGATGGACTTTCTATAGTGTAGTCTAATCAACCTAGAACTAATGTACCATACCGTGTCATTCTAGGTAATTTAATTCTGTTCCCCTTTCAAATATTTGACCAGGAGTTCGGTGGCGGCGATGGCGCCGCGCACATCTTCACCCAATGCGGTCTCCATTCTCATTAAGGAGGCTGCTACAAGCTTTGCCTCCACTACCTTATCCTCCAACATCTTGACAATCTGCTCATTTCCTTGTCTGACCCCGGCTTGAATGGTGGCCAATTGCTGGGCTACCGGTGTTGATCTTGCTTGCACCAACACCGCCGGGGTTATTAACCACTGGCTTTCTGGCTAAATTGAACTGTAAGGCGGTGGCACAGTTGAAATGAGGATGACTTACCAATTGCTCAAAGTGGGCTCCCACCATGTCCCCGACTTGCCTCCAGCCAGGATAACTGGAGGTGAAGGTCTCGTAGTCGGCCGTATCAAAAGGAGTGTTCCACCAGTCCAAGGGATAGCTCTTGACAACCCGACCTCTGGCCCAGGCGCCGGTTGGCTCCACCGGTAACTTCATGAATTGGTCATAGAGCTGCCGGTAGGTCAGGAGCTCCGTCGAGCTCATGCCAAGGATCCCGACGCAGTATCGGAGCCTGTTGGACAAGGGCGGGGCAATGCACATGCCTTCGCAATACGCGATCCAAGGCATGAAAAAAGCCTGATCGGCGATTAATAAACTTATATTAATGAGAAGAATTCGAAGACTTACATCGGCCTCCCACATAAGGTACTTGCTGAAAATTAGCCGCGTTGCCGATGATGGAGGAGGTTTGTTCTCCATGGATGACCGTTATAGCCAGCAGGCGGGACACGGCGAACTCGAATATGTTTGCCATATCGGCAAGATCGAATCTGGGAGGGTTGTCGGTGCTGCTGCCGCTGGTGGAAGAGTCGCCGGATGGGCTGGGGCGCTCGGTGGTAGAAGAGTCACCGGATGGGCTGGGGCGCTCGGTGGTAGAAGAGTCGCCGGATGGGCTGGGGCGCTCGGTGGTACCGGGAATCTTAGACATGATTGAATATTTGGAATTTGATGATTGGCGAACGTAAATTTATACAATTTGCCACAATCGGAGTTTGAACTCGCGGCAATCGGCGGTTTCAAATGGGTCGGTGAATGCGGCCCGTGAGACTTTGATCAGCAGTTCGCTTTGGCAACAATTGATGATCGCGGTCCACAATGATAATGTGAACAATACCGAGGGTAAATCGTGTGATCACTACTTGACCGGCGTCACAGGTCTGTGTCTGTGGGGTTTGCCGGCATTGTGAATTGGAGATTGCCGGAACATGCCGAATTTGTGAATTGCAGATCTCCATTGTCCACATTGACCCAATATGGAAATATATTGGATGTGTGACATAATCAGCCGCCACATTACATTTCACATCGGACTTGTATTTATTGAGCATCACGGTTCATCGCCGCCTCTCATCTTTACACCATTACCACCATGACCACCTCAGTCTCTAATGCTGCATTCTGTGCTGCAGCCGACAAGGTCGACTACATTCTGGGGCAGGCTCTCCAATTGGATCCTGCCGATCCCAGACACATCGCACTTGGGACGGAGCTGGCCTCAACCCTTGTAAGTTTTCTTAGATTTGTTACCTTCAGTGTCACATTCGCTAATCTTGGTATAGAGTTTTACCTTCGGCTCCTTTGCCTATGGGGCAACCTCTGTGTCGCCCATGGTGCTCTCTGCCGCCGCAGAGATTCATGAGCACCTGGACGCATCCCGCTGCAAGATTGCCACTGCCCCGGTCTGGTCCAACATTCGCCCAGACGATCCGCGGAGCCGCTCCAGCCCGCTTTACCCCTGCATTCATGGCTATGGGAACCCCCCTCCCTCCACCAATGCTCCTGTTTCCGGTCCACTCAACCCCCCTGCCCCCGCCCTTCCTCCTCGTGCCGGTCCGTCCAACCGCCTTCCCCCCACCATTCCTCCTGTTGCCGGTCCGTCTGGATCCAACGCTGCATTGGCCCAGGATGCCGCAGCCCTTGCAGGCAAGGGCAAGGGCAAGGCACGAGAAGATCCTGTGGCCGAATCCACAGAAGAGCGCGGTCGCGGTATGGAACGAGGCAAGCGAATCCACTGCCTCAGCACCGCCCGCAGTCAGAGTCGCGCGCTGAAGGCTAAACGGCAACGTGCCACCTCCAAGGCCATGATCACCAGCGAGGACGACCGGGAGTTGGACGCGGCCGACATTCCTCAGGACAAACCGGTGCCGGCGGCCAGGAAGAAGGTGAGTCTGGCCTTTTACTTATCTTTCTGTTCTAACCTCTGCGCCAGTCATCCTTGCCCAACAGACTTCCCCCCGCCCTCAGGAAGACCCGGCTGGCCAGCAAGTCAGCATCCCTCACCATCACCAGCACCGATGAGGATGATGTCGAGGCGCCGACCAATCCTCCACCCAAGATGCCGAAGAAGTATGTCGAGATTGCTGATGAGGAAGATGAAGAGATGCCGATGAACGTTGGCCCGGCGCCGAAGATGGGCACTCCATTCGTTCAAGTTCCGGTAAGTGTTGTTCCCCCCATTTGTCACTCAAGTTCTAACACAAGGCAGCCCGCACCAATTGCGATCGCCGGCAATGACGCCGCTGATCCCAACGTATGGCAGCCTGGTTGTGGCCCATGCCGCCACAGAGGGCTTGCATGCCGCCAAGGCTTCAACATTGCCGGGTCACCACTCACCGTGTGCGAAAGCTGCCACCGCCTCAAGCATCGGTGCGGTGGTAACGGTTCTGCCATCCCAGCCTCCAAAGGCAAGAAAGCCGCAGCGACCACATCTCTGCCCCCGCGTTCAAAATCTCGCCGCCGTCCATCGCCTGTGCATGTCTCCCCAGAGACAGGTAAGTACGGAGTTGTATTTGTCAATTTTATCTAACATTATGTAGTTGATTCAGCCGCTCCAGCAGCAGCCTCCACATCTGGTGCACCTGCACCGGTTGTTGCTGCCATCACCGCTCCCGTTGCCGCTCCCGCTCCCATCACCGCTCCCGCTCCCATCACCGCTCCCATCACCGCCACCGCTCCCATTCCCACTCCCGCCGCCGCCTCCACTCCTGATGGGCCAGCAGATGCATATGTTGTCGCCCTAATCGAGGCCTTACATTCCACCGTCGCCTCATTGGAGGCAAAGGTCAGCCTTGGGGAGAAGCGTCTCCTTGAAGCCAATCAGAGATTGGCCGACCAGGAGGCGGCTTCAAAACTGCTCGCCGAGCAATTTAAAGAACTTCGCCGCCAGTTGCTCCCTCCCCCAGTCCCGGCATCACCTGTCGTGGCTTGCCTGCCGGTGATGATCGGCAACCTCAGCGGCAGCAGCAACAATATTGCTGCGGCTGAAGATGGAGCTGAGTCCGCGCCTGGAGGTATTGGAGAGGCTGAAGCAGAGTCCACGTCCGGTGTCAATGCCGGCGCCAGTGGCAACAACATGGATCTGGATGTTTCTGAGGATCTGGAGGCTGCCGCTCCGTCTGGTGACACCGCCGGCCTCAGCGGCAACAGCAACAACATTGCTGCGGCTGAAGATGGAGCTGAGTCCGCTCCTGGAGTTATTGGAGAGGCTGAAGCTGAGTCCACGTCCGGTGTCAATGCCGGCGCCAGTGGCAACGCCATGGAACTGGATGTTCCTGAGGATCTAGAGGCTGCCGCTCCGTCTGGTGACATTGCCGGCCTCAGCGGCAACACCAATGATGTTGTAGCAGAGGCTGAGGTGGCAGCTGAGTCTGCATCTATTGCATCCTCCGCCCATGAATGAAATTTGTTGTGCATGAATTGGACTTACTTTGTATTACCATAGTTTGAATTGGATCCTATAAATGTAGATAAACGCCTGCAATCAGCCTGATACATATGACCCTATGATATTATGATATGCCCCTTTATGAAAATACCTTTTCCCCCCTACAAGTGCATATATGCCGGTCAGAGATCTGGTCCGCAAATGAATTCATTTGCCCTAGATTAAGTTTGCCGCTGGCATTGACTGATGCATGCTGATCCGGTCCTCAAATCAATTCATTTGCCAGTGGTTAAAGTCGCCGGTAGCATTTACAGAATATGGACAGTAGTGCCGGCGAGCCAGATACTTCTGCCGGGGAGATGTAGGCATTGCCGGCACCTGTACCAACTGCAGTATTGCCCACGGTGCCGCCGATGACAATGGTCTTGCCGGTGACCGAACATTGTGCCGGCGAGATACTGGCGGAACGGTTCTGCCGCCGATACATATCCGGGATTCAGCCGTGTTATGTATCTATCAACCTGTCAGCATCAGCAACTTCATATCCGTTCACTGATACTGCGTCCCAGGATCCCTTCGCCGAAGCTAATTGACTGCATTACAAAATGCCCATTTATCGCCGAAACCGTGTCTCGGGGTTCTGCCGCCAATACATATCGACCCGGCCGATGCCAATAGGCCATGGTAGACCATCGCCGGCACTCGTTCCCGATATCTATACATGTATCCTATTCCACGGAATACAATGACCGATGTTAATGGACCACTGTCGGATGCCATGCCTGATATCCATTCTCTGATACCGTTTTCCAGGATCCCCTCGCCGAAACTAATGCCCATTTCTCGCCGACCGCATTTACTGGCGCCGGCGGACTGCCGCCGATACTTATGAACCGTGGGCCCACCCGAAGGTGGTGAGGACTCAATAATGTAGGCCCACCCCTCAATACACATACATTAATTTTGATACCCATGGGCCCACTCCAAAGCATCGAGTACATTCTACCGTGGGCCCAGCCCTAACGGTCGGGGGTACTTATGGACCGTGGGCCCACCCGAGGGAAACGAGGACTCAATATTGTAGGCCCACCCCTCAATACACATCTATTAATTCTGACACCCATGGGCCCACCCCAACGTATTGAGCCCAGTCTACCGTGGGCCCACCGCTAACAGTCGGTGACAATGCATCCGCCGGCCCACCCATCAACGTCGGATGACATTGTAATGTGGGCCCACAGTGGGCTGGCCCGACACCTAAGAAGAAATGTCAACTTGGGCTGGCCGAGTCCATAGGGTCAAGTCACTGAAGGGGCTCGTCACAATGTGATGCGACCACATCTCCAACCCACAGATCATGGTGAATATGATCGAGTCCTTCGACACGGGTGATTTTGAGTCGTCGCGAGCCAGACTCAAGGTTTGGGTGTTTCTTGAAGATGGTATCGATATCCTTGGCGGCGCCGATGTGATCGAGTGCCTGTGAATAGTTCATGGCGGAATTGTGCTGGCCCCTCATTCGTGTGATACCAAATAGCTTCTCCAGATGATCATCACCAGTCTGGATGAGCCAAAACTTCTGCGACCCGTCAAGTTTCTGCTGCTTTGCAATGCAAAAGCAGGTGTTTTTCACCATCGTCTGTGAGTCGTAATAGAGAACGTGTGGCATGAATGCGGAGCGGTGCAAACGGAAAAACGTAAACGTGAGATGCGCATAGCGACTAAGATGAGTGATCTGTTGGTGCAGCGACAGCGTGATATCAATGAATGGGAGGAGGATTGATTCTAGTATAGCTCCAAGAATTTTGATGGCCGCAATGTCTGCACATTCACCGGCGGTCATTGTTGCGGTGTTGAATTCGTCTTTGGAAAGGGTGATTATAGCTTGCATAAGTTCGATGGCACGAGGTACGTCTTGGGGGTCATCCGGATTCAGGAGCTTGAGGATGGAAGTCTCATCTTGTGTCGGAAATTTCCTGTTGGCATCAAAATGCTCACATGTTTCAATCTACCGCCAGGGCATTAAAATCAAATCATCTTTGCTATTGTAATCATAATCTGAACTGAGTTTCAATATGATTACGATCAATCCCACCGCCGCCGATTGACTAGATCGACCACCACGCATATCTTGCCTCCAATCTGCTTCTGAATTGTTCTACTACTGTTTGTACCAACTTTGTACCATAATCCTGCGGTATATTCTCTCATGCCCCGGGCTTCGGAAGACGTCCAGTGCCAGACATGTGGCGCAACAATGCCAGCACGCGGGATAATGTCCCACACAAGACTGTGTGAGAAGAAGGAAAGGCAAAGGCAAGAAGAGGAAGAGCTGTTAGAAGTCCTTTGAGAGACTCGTAAGAAGCGTAAGCATTCAATTTAATTCACGCACATCTTGAATCACCACGATCGTTTGCTGACAATATGACAATGATATCTGAATCCAGGTCGACGTCAAAAGTTTCGGACCGAGAATCATGATGATGGGCGGGTGCCTGGACTGTCTCATGCTGTGGAGAATCTAGGTGAGTCTTCTGTCACTCGATCCTTCTTGTTTTATTAACTTTGAATCCAATGGCTAGTCAATCCGATCGCAATCTGGGCAGTGCAAGATGGAGTTGCTAATCAGGAAAACCAGGACAATGGTGAGTTGCCCCAAACTTGTACAGATGCGCCGTTTCGATTGAAAGAAGCTAACTACTTATATTCAAGACATCAACATGCAGGGATCGTCACCCCGAAGCCACCCATCATCCATGGATTTCGTCCCAGACTCTGACCACCAACATCATGATGACGCACCTCCTGCGCCTCAGCTGGATGATATCAAAATCGAACATCGTCCACACAGCAGGATACCTTCGACCGTCCATCCATTCTCAGAATTTTCTCGCCGCCGTCCAACAGAGGATACAATTCCTCGTAGCACCTCCCCATGGGAGCCATTCCGCACAAGGCTTGATTTCGAGGTCGCAGAGATCACGCTTGCTGCATCGATGACGAAAGATCAAACCAATCGACTTTTTGAGCTCATGCGCCGCGCTGTGAGCGCTCAAGAAGATTTCACCTTGCAGAGTCACGATGAAGTTCGTACTTTGTGGAAAA